TGGAAACCCTGATGCGGTTCAAGAGATGGAGCAGAGGTGTCGACGAGGTCCTCCATCTGCTATGGTCACTGGGCTCGAGGTCTTTCCCAGCACTGAGGACCCTGGGGATGGATTTGAGCGCAAACAAACGGTCTGATTCGTTATCCATTTCCTGTGTTAGCTAGAATGTAATATATATAGTCTTATTCAACTCTATACTATAGATTGTCGTTCCAAGTTCTGAATAAGAGGACACATGTGCAATGTGGTTCTTGTTTAAATAATATACCACCCAATGACTTCATATCATACATTGGTTTCTACTTTCTGTTTTGTGTTGGTATTTGTTAAGTGGATGAGTATTTGGCTTTTGAAACTTTAAAAGAAGCTCGATGGATGCGGCGACAGTCACTGCATTTTTAAGCTAAACCATTATAGACATCCATATAAGGTTGACAGAGTACAGATCATGGCCACTTGAGAGTTGAGGCGTAAAATTGTTTGGTAAAGTAGAGAAAGTTGCTTGCTAAAGGTATATGATGAGTTACACCACTTTCATGCATCTTTGGGTTGTTTTGCACCCTTTTAACGCTAGCAGAAAGTTGGTCTTCATCTTGTTCTACATCTCTCTCTAAGGTCGAGTAGGCTGATCCTAGAAAATAAAGTTTCCGAACTTATTAGATTAGAAAGTTTTATTAACTTTTTGGCTGCCTTTAAAATTATATGGTTGGGTAGAAGAGTAAGATAGATATTCTCTAAGGTTGAGTAGACTGATCCTCCCTTAAGCTTTGAACTGCTCCCTGGTTTGCTTGGTTGACAATCTACTGGTTTATGTTCCTTGGTTTGGAGAAGTCTTCGGCGTTAAGGGGTCATTTAGCTGTCCTAAGTCCTTAGTCAAGGAAGGTATGGTTTTCACTGGTATATCCTTTGCAGAGCTCTTGGGCATGCAATTCTCAATAATAAAACATGTAACATGATACGTTGTTAAGGATGCAGGTTAGGACTTCAAATCAGATTGGTAAATCACCATACATAATGTAAAAGAACACAAGTTGATGCATGAATGGATAAAATGTGGATGGACTCGACAATCTAATATAGGAATGAGATGTAGCTCTGTGAGCAGCTCATATTGTGTTTTTTAAGGATTCTCCCAAACCTGAGGGTGTTTATACATGTTCCGAACTCCTTTAGGGGAAAGCAATTGCTACGCACATGAATTAAGATTATCAGCAACCCCTGGAGAAGACTTTTGCTTCAATAAGGTTGAGCGTCCCGATGTCCTTTATAGCAATGTTCTGGACAAAATGCACCAGATCTTTCTTCAAATCAGTTGGTATATTAAGCTTGTTTGTTGTGGTTTCTTTAATGACAATTGTAAGCATGCTCTGATAAGATGTATCTTATTATCTTAACCCCACCTGGTGCTCTTACTAGTTGATTATGGACTGTCACGATAAGAGTTTTGTGGTATGCTGTGGTGATGAGCAAATTATGTTTTGAGTTTAACCACCACCTACTGAAATAAAAACAGCAACGTTGATGCAAGGAGCTTAGCACTACACATGCGCATGTCTGAGTTGCACTTTTTTGAAGTTTGTCGATTCATTTTCTTCTCCAAGGTCTCCCTTCATTATTTAGAGTGGATATGCAACCTGGAAGTTTTCTCTGTAAGCTAATGTCAGTTCTGCTTGAGTGGAGATGGCTAGAATGAGAGGCGGTCTTGTAATGCCGAGGCTTGTTAGGACTTGGGAGGATGTTTCCTCAGCTTACGAAGAAAATAAAGTTTGATTCTCGCAGGAATTGCTGCTCTGGTGGTGATTTGGGTCCATCATTTCGTTTATAATTTTTAGAGACAGACTTGAGTGATTAAGACTAGTTTATGGTATGGCCTTGACACTATCAACATCGAACCCTTTTCTAGTTGAATAATTCATGTGCCTCAGGATTGAATACCAACTTTACGGCATGGCCTTCACGGAGTCAAGAATATGACCTACCAAACAGAATGAAAGCTCAATCTTAACCTCTCATTGAAGCCTATTTCAATAAGTGATAGAATAAAGAGAGATAACAGCATTAGCCGGTGGGGGACCCCGATTGGATCTCCTCCGTCTGGCGGCCGTTCACGGTTGAATTGAACCCATGCCATCCTTTTTGTCTTGGAAATATCCTTCATGTACTGGCTCTCGTTACTCTCGTTTCCCTTTCTTCTCGTCACATCAACGCAGTAATCAAACCCCTCACTCGCTTTGAGGAATACAAAAACAAAAATCAAACCCCTTAAAAAAAAAAAAACCTCAGTGAACATTTTATACAACTTGCACATGACTGTGTTGCTTTAGTTCCAGTGGAATAATCGATCCTCGATCAGATATGCAATGACTGGATAAAGAACACTAGGCCTTCTTTCTGAGAGGTACTTATTGTCCTATAATTCGTATAAAATGCTTCAAGGACCCCAATTATAAGTTATAACAGCCAAAAGAAAGGTACATCAAAGATCCCACTACATTGGACCCAGAAAAAGGTAAAAGGGGTGTACTGACATTGATAAGTCGATTAAATTACACATGCGTCCGTCCCATCTTAACTTGGCTTTTAGGATTTGGAGACAATGTTGATGGTGAATGAGTCATCATGGTAAGTGGGTTGGTGACAAGTATAACCTGGCAATGTTTTCTTGTCACATCATACTGTTAATTTAAATCACTCATAATAAAATATAAATTAATTTGATCAATGATTTAGATGTATATTCTTCGATCTCTGATACCATATAAAATATAAATATGTCTTGAATGCTTTAGATTTTATACAAAAGGTCTCGATTTTATTAAAAGTAGAATCATTTATTATATGAGACAAGTGGTTAAATTGGGAGACAATATCGATGTTACTAGTAGTAGGCCAAAGATCCTCCCTCTGAAATCTTAACATATACATACACTATTCTTAAATTGATTGATTAGTAGAAGAATATTTTCAAAATGAATTATGCTGCCTTTATACATGTGACTGACATTAACACAACTCTTATTTATGTGAATCCTTAAACAAGAGTAAGTCCATGTACATATATTTGCTGCCATACCAGGAGTGATTTGTAGTTGCCATCAGCGCAGAGGTTGAACAGGGAAATATGAAGGTGCAGCCAAATGATGAGATAAAGCAGCACCACGGAATTACCCCTTCCCATCCCTTTTGATTAGAAACGTGACCATCTTCCCCTGCCCATTAGGCAGCTCCAGATACATTATAGGTCGTCCAAAGTAATGCCCTTATGATTTTTTAATGCATTCAATTGTAAGATGCAGAGCTGATTATGTATTTTCATATTGAATCCAATGATAAGAGTTTCTTCTTTTAACAATTCTACAATTCTACAATTTAGAGAAGTATAACAAAAACTCAACTCCAACTATGCTTCATATCCAACTCCTAAAATAGTATGATCTCGAGGTGCTCCTAAATTTGAGAAGAGAAAAACGGATCCTAATGGCTCATATTCATTGTTAAATCAAAATTAATTTAGTAAAGAACTAAAACATTTGACTCCTTAAATTATGATAAAATTTGTGTGATGAGAGAGAGAGATACATAAGGTGCAGTCTCCAGTTAGAGCTAGCTCTTGTTCTGAAAAAGTCAAGGGTTCCACACCTCCAAACCCCATATCCCTTACTTATTTGTTGAACTTGAATTGTATGAGTTTGCTTATCTTTATCCATCACGTGGAAAATGAAATCGCAATTGAGTACAGTGTCATCTTGATATACATTGTTAGTCAATTTCCTAGAAGAATTGACCATTTTGAGTTTATTAGTTTCCTAAAAGATTCAGATGCTTATTTTTCATCAAATATTTCTGTTGAATCGGTAGTTTGAGCCTAATATTACATGTTTAGCGAATATAGAGAGGCATTTTGTTGAGCAAGTTTCTGCTGCTTCTTCCTGAATTAATAATATTGATTTCCCAAATATGTGTACCACAGACGTTATGGCCTACTCATCCAATCACCGGCAATAGTCACATAAATATAAAATAAAGTGGATGGCGGTTGATCATATGAACATCGCTTTTACTGCTGCTTTTCTCTAAGACTAAGACTAACTAAGAAACACCAATTCTCTTCTCGCCGACACACCAAGAAACTTTTTACTTCCATACACCACAGTAACTACACAGAAACAAGTGGGTACAAAAATAATGCAGGCTCCAGCAGCACTAATTTTACCATAAATTAGGAAAGTAAGTCTTGTGTATTAGTGATGTTCCTATGTAAACTTGTCTTGCACTCCAAGACATTTGGATTTTCTTGTGTACCAAGTAGTGTAGAGAGAGTTTTGTATACATGTTTAATGAAAGATCGGCTTAGTGGCTCGGCACATGCTTTTCTCTCATTCTCCTTATTCTTTCATGTCTCCTTCTCATTATTCTTCAATAATATCTAAGAATTATTGATCGGGACTCAGTATGTTATTAGATAATCATCTGTTTAACTATTTTGTATCCATTAATGTTAATTTATGTGAATTTCGTGCCAACTTTGTGTTAGTATGATTTTTTAATCTTTATTAGATTGACGTACGAGTTCATTTTTCTCACGATATAGTATTTTAGATTTCTAAATCACTGTTAGACTTAATCATTTTGAATATGAATCTCAATTTTGTGTCATAAGATCCGTGTGAATTTCGTGTTGATATTTTGTGAAGTTTTGAATCACTGTACAAAATTTTACCGTCAGATCAAAGTCCCAATTCCCATCACAAACTCACAAATCATTAAACAAACTCATCATCATCATGAGTGATGAGATGAGAAGAGTACCGCGTGAGGACATTTGGATGCGTTGTTGACTTATCAAAACGTTTGCATTAAATGACTTGTCGTCCATGGCACCTACATTAGATGCAAAATGGCTCCACAATGAAACAGAAGTTTCCTTCTTTTCCCACTCTGGCTTCCTTCTCAAAAACCCACTATAAAACACACCCTCCACAGAAAATCACCATCACCCATCAAAATAAACAAAGCAAGCAAGCTCTTGAGTCCAAGTCCTCAACACACAATAATATGTCCACACTGAAAATCCGATCAGAGAAACCAGACGACATTCGAGGTCTCGTGACGCTGAGGCTGCTCATTCGGAAGCTTGTGCAGAGGGGTCTCTCCATTTTATCAGCCAGAGGCTTTCATCACCACAATGATTTTGATGAAGCCACAGTGGTGCCAGAAGATGTTAAAGAAGGGCATTTTGCTGTCTTTGCAGTGAAGGGCAAGGAGGCAGAGAGGTTTGTGGTGAAATTAGAGTCCTTGCAAAACCCTGAGTTTTTGAGGTTGCTAGAAGAAGCTGAGGAAGAATATGGATTTGAACAGAAGGGGGCTCTTGCTGTTCCTTGCAGGCCAGAGGAGTTGCGTAAGATTTTAGAGAACAGGAGGGAGAAGAATAGTAGTAATAATAATATTAATCTTACAGTTATACAAGGATACTAGCTAAGCTAGCTACCCGAATGACCACATTTTCATGTATGATTTATTAGCCATGTAAATTTCTTTGTCTAATTATTTCCTCTGTTATATGTGCTCTTTTTGCACTGGATGTAGACAGATTTCTGCATGGGAAGAATATAAGAAAAATTCATTCTTATATCTTATATCATTTCTTCCTTCTGAGGTAAGCAGAGTGGGTTGGGGTTGGGGAAATGGGATGACAACAATTAAGTATGATCTGAAAATAATCATATTAGAAGATTTTTGCCTTATTGAAGCAAGAGCTATGCCTATCCGAACTTCCACTACTTTCATTCAGTTTTTAATTTTTCTGTGCCTGTATGTTGAACCAATACCATAACTTTTTTTCAACAATGACAAAGTTTAATTTAAATTTAAATGCTTAGAATTTGAGGCGGCCAAGGGGGCTGAGAAGCGGTATTTTGCTTTGTGGCGGATGTTAGAGGTTCGAGTCTGTTTATCTTCACTTCAAGCCGAAATGTTGCTATATTTTTCTCTTTTTTCTTTGTCGCATTAATGATCAAATCCTTAAGCCTTAGCACTTCTATTTTCTAGAAAAAAAATATTTTCGCATTTATTTTAGACTCATGTGTCTTGTAGTATGACACACTCTAATACGGGATGTGAGAGGACTTTCAAACACTCATGATTTAGTGTTGGGAGACTCATCATAAGCATCAGAACCCTCACTCTGGCCCGCATTAGAGGATTCTTAATTATACTAATACAAAAGGAGAGGTGCTCCTATAAAATACTACACATGTAAACCGAGTGGAATATTATTGATTCCGGCAGAACACCGATTCTTGCCGTGTTTGGCCAGGTAGTACCAACACGTTTGGTGCTTTTTTTTCTTTTCTGAAAAGAGTTAGTTGGCAATGGACTAATGATCTGATCATGAGACTTATGACGGTGGAAACCAACCAACTCCTCCGTTAGCAGTTGTTTTCTTTTTTCATAATTATTTCTTTATTACACAAAGGTATATTCCAATTGTGTTCATATTATTACTTTTTTATTAGTAGTTGGTTAATTTTATATTCACAATTAGGTCTTGGTGGACCCTATCTATTTGGACCTTGAAAGAACTTGCATTTTAGTGCATACTGTGAAGTCCATAGTCCTACCCTTGATTTTACATGCCACCTCCACTCCTCAAGAGGTTCAACTTTTGAGATCAACCCATGTGGAAAATGTAAAAATATTATACAAATTTATAAATAAACTCAATCCTAGACATGTATTTATAAAAAAATCCAAGCACTATTTAAACATAGAAACACACCCAAAATAAACCCCAAAGTCAACTTTTTGGGTGTGTTTATAAATGGGTTTTGAGTGTGTGTAATGATGGGTTTTGGGTGTGTTTATATGTTTAAATAGTATTTGGGTTTTTTTATAATTTCAATCCCCATTTTGAGTGTTTTAGTGAAACTTCCAAAATATTATAGGACTAGTGAGTAGAGACATGTGGAAATAATGGAATTAATAAAGTTTTCGTGGTTGTATGAATTGTGCTAGCATCGGTCGTAAGTGATTGAATTTTATCCGTTAGTTTATATGAGACTCATAATGAAGCTCATACATATCAATACTTGGCATTTCTAATTAGGTTATTATGTGTGACTGATGCTAGCATCTTTTATATTTCACACTTGTATTGTATGTGGTCATTGTAAGCAAAGTCTTGAGGCACCAAAACAATGATGATTGATGACAACCCAACTTGAAAGACATTGACGGAAGTGTCTGAAAAATAGTTGGTCCTGATCGTATGTAATGATTGTAACCAAAGTCTGGAAACACTAGCTGGAGTTACAATTTAAAAGATTAGATGGATTGGAAGTCATTTTTATTGTCAGCCGAAAGTGCAGGATTGCTTCCAAAACTTTGAAGCTCTAGCAAACTAAGCTACAATTGAGCTTCAATTCGAGATCTCTTGTGAGCAGTGACGGATCCAGGATTATGTGGCCAAGGGGGTTTAGTGTAAAAGTTCCGAAATTTTTCTATAAAGAAAATAATGCTAAAAACGCCTATTAATCCGTCATTCGAAATTTTTAAATTTAAATTATCCATCAATATGATTCATATCCATAAATTTCATTACATAAAAAAAAAAAATCAATATCAACAATATATATTATCACTAAAAAAAGGGCAGCACAAGATGGTGGTGGTGATCGCCAATGGGCCACTCGCGAAGAGTTGATGGAGGTTGTCGGAGGTTAGGAGGTTGGGAGAGGTTAGGATTTGAGAGGGAAGGGCTGTGAAATTGGGAATGAAGGGTTGGGAGGCGCTGTGCAGAGTCGGTGGGTATTCTATGTGTGTGTGTTTTTTTTTAATTTATAAATTTAAAACCTGGCCTCAAAACGACGTCGTTTTGAGGCCAGGTCAATTAAAAAAAATTGACTGAGCCTTGGACCAAACGACGTCGTTTGGCAAGGCTAGTTTAAAAAAAAGAAGACCCGCAGCGCGCACGCACAAGGCACAGCGCAGCAGAAGAAGGAATGGCTTGGGACTTTCATCGAGCACTTGGTGTGCATACCAGGGGTCGCCTAGCAACTGTCCAAGGGGGCTTTCATGGAGTCCCTTGCCAAATTTCCAGCCTTCCAAGGGGTCGTCCGACCCCTCTTGTCCCAACATGCGTCTGCCCCTGCTTGTGAGAACAATATGGTGAAATATGATCTTATGAGTTTTTACGTACACATTATAATTAAGCACATCAGCTTGCCTTTTATACCAAAACATTTTCCAACTATGCAAGCGATATTGTATATATTTTCTTAAAACAAACCCATGATAAAAGCACATGGTTATAAGTGTGCTCAATTTGCTTGCCTCCCACACAAAGTTCCAATGAAGATGGGCAATTCTGGAGAAAAAATGAATATGGGCAATTCAAGCCATAATATGGGCCCGACCCGTTTAGATTAAGCATGGCAGGATCTATGCTATGTTGGGCCGGGTATAGCAACACTTTCGGCATTAAAAGAAAATTTTAAAATAATTGATGCTATTTTTTTTCTTTGATACAAGCAATAGGTGAGGGTATTTGAACAGAGAAACTCAGGTGCACGGATAACTATTCTTAACCATTTGAGTTACAAATCCTTTGTAAAATTCATAGTATTGATAAGATTATGGAATGAACATTATTCTGATTTTCAACACAAGAACAGTCACTGGGAAGTTGCTCATTTAGAACAAGCAATTTAGCATTGTCATACAAATCTCAACAACATTTACAAAATGGACAGGGTGCAAATGAAGGAGCCATTGTTAAGTAGTCATTGTATTATTTTACCTCAGAGCAATTATCTGAGCCTACAGGTTCTTTCAAGCAGCTAGATATTGCCACTACTGCAGCTTCAATCGCTCCGTCTTCTCCCTGTTCCATTCCATCCAGCAGATACAAGTTACAACCATACTCTTTTTCTTCAGAAAATCTTGTGCAATGCAAACAACCTCATTACAAACATAGATATATCTGAGCAATGAGGGAACTTCACCTTCTCTTTCCAGTAGAACATATTTCCATATTTCCCGGCCAAACGGCTCCAAAAGCTACGTGGAACATCAAGATCAACGGAAGCCCCCACGTTGAAGTTCAGTATATTGCCTGCTCAAAGAGAGGAAGAGACCCATCAATACAAATAATCTATGGTCGAGGTAGTACAAAGAAAAGAGGAAAAAACTCATACAATATAAGTTAAAACACAAGATTGGCATGTATGAATACATTACCAAAGGTGGGATCAGCAACAAAGACAATAGTTCTATCATCCACTTGCCAGAAATCTTTAATTGCCAAACCTGCAAAACATGGAAATATTGCAAAACCAGGGTTAATTTTATCTTCTCACACATTCAGATTGGTCTCTTAACAATAATTCTAATTTACAATTTGGCAACATAAACATGTTAGACTGTGTGACAAGAGAGCATTTGCTTGCAAAACCCTAAACAAATATATAGAAATTTAAAAAAATAAAAGAAAACACTCTGAATGCCAAAGTCTTACAGAATATTAAGCACACCTGGTGTGTCAGGATAGTTCTGTGCAAGAACCCTCAACTTGAATCCAGTATCTTTCTCTATGTTATCAATCTCTTGGGCTAGTCTTTTCTCCTGAAAATTACCATACATTAATTATAAGCACCTCAGCTTAATTCTTAGATTTCAATTTTGATGTCAATGTTCAAAAGACACCACTATGATATTATTAATGTCCCATATAATAGTAATAGATGCAATGCAAGTTTTCCATTTTCAATTTCAACCCAAGAATCCAGGAAATCCATATAAAACCAACAAATAAGCAATAAATAAGAAAACACACCTGACCATCAGAGAGGAAGCCAGCTACATCAATTACAGGACTGAACTCTTTGGGAAGCAATTCTGGCTTGTTCACCCCAACTTTTGCCTCCACAGGTCCTACTCCTGCAGAAATTTAAAGGCTTCTTCACATTTTCAGCATGTTAATCTTTTATGCAATTGCAGAAAATGAGAGTACTTGCCTGAGAGAGATAATCCGAGCGTGAGAGCCCCCGAGAGCACTAAATTTAAAGATTTGGACCGAAACTCCGGGACCCAGTTGCTCAATTGTGTTGGCTTTTGGGTTGAAGAGAGATGAGAGGACGCAGCGATCAGTGGTGTGAATGGAAGACGTGAGGTTGTTTGGGAAGTGGGAGATGAACATGGAGGATGGAGAAACGCCATTGTTTATTCAGCTGGGACCGTGGCAGCTGCAAAGGCTTTTAGGATAATGGAAGACGTGGGCTATTTTCTATTTCTGTTCTTTTTGGGGGGTTTTTAACATTTTCACCAGGGATTCTTTAAAAATCTCCAAAATTCGGCTTTTTTTCATTACTTTATTTTCTAAATAATCCGGCTGTTAAAAGAAGTCCCAAATTCCCAATGATAATTTTATAAAAATTTTAACCCACATGGAAAAAAATACATGTAAAAATCCATACATCATAATTTACCTAATTTGTGTGACTTACAAGTGATTGCACGTATTCGAAGTTTATGCTAAACTCATAAAGGAAGTAAGTCGTAAACATTTTCTTCACCACTCAGCAAATAGAACTATAGATTTTCAGATTCCATTTTCTTTTTGGGGTACTACGCCTTAATT